ATATATATTCGTATTCTCTACTGCTACACGGATCCCCAACACGGTAGATGTTGAGAATCTATTTCGTCCGTACTGCACCACGGTATAGTATACTCGTATGTCTCCAGAGATGCTCTTCAACTGATCTCCGTATCAAACTGTGCTTGGTGTTTAGTAGTCAGTATATTGCTATAGGGTGTACTGCAGGACGGGTCTATATGTTGTCTCAGTCATTACACTTATGAGCCACAGTAGGTAAAACTCACCCCTCACCCTCGCGTAAATCCAAGGAAGAAACCCTACACACCAACCCAAGACCTTTTACCAACCGTAGCAGCCACAGGAGATCACTCAGGGCACACACATACGCCACCGACAGGCAGGTACACGGTTCAGTCTAAACTCTAAAACCCTAAAACCTAAAGTTCTAAAATGCTAAACCCAAAACCTACTGTTCAGCTCTACGCTGACTGCAGATAGTTACTAAGTCACCCTAAAACCTAAACCCTAGACAGGGCACTTACTTAAGATAGTCTTCGAACAGCAGTTTGTACCGTGGCACGCGCTGAATGGGAGTGATCATAAACGAGCGCATTGGTAGGCCATTGACCTGAGGGGTGTACTCCAGGTCTTTTAGGGCGTCTCGCACGCACACGTACTCTGCACAGGAGATCAAAAGCACGTGTTAGTACGTAGAATGGGCGTGTAGGTAGGGGCATGTGAGAGGGATGGGAGGGTGGCATGGTGGGAGTGTTTCTCGCGGAGATGGACAATTAAAAAGGACTCGGCAGTGCACGGATTAATAGACACAAGCACATGTTAAGAATGATGCTTGTACTTTGCTGAAGTCATAACAATACTCAAAACTATTATAAACGCAGCCGCTCTACGTCACTGCCTGCCAAACAGTTGTACTGAGAATATGCGGCCGCTATGGACGAGTGGGTTGTTGGTGCGTGCAAGTGAAGTCAGTGTGCGTGGGGGTGTAGTACATAGTGTTCCATGTCTGTCTGTATTTTGGAAGTGTGAAAGTGTGTGGCTGTGTGTGTTCGTGTGTTGTATCGCTGGAGTGTGTCTTTGTACCGGTATATGTGATCCCTATACGACGCACTTACTTGTAATTGTATCAATGTCCAGTGTCAGAGTGCGTTACATTATACAGCTGGGCTGTACTGTTTCAAACATATGGTTTAAACTAGTCCTATCATTTGCACCCATCTCATGCAAGAAAGTGTCATGTCACAAGTTGTAGGGGTTATATGCTCGCAGTATCATGTACACATGTATGGGGGTCTATCACTGGTACAATCACATACACATACTATCATTATCATTTG